ATCTCTGACACTCCCACTCTTTCAGAAATTCGTCGATGGGCTAGTAGCACTTGGAAGCAGTCACACTCCACAAGTTTCTCCTTCAATGGTGGTCTCCAACGGTGGGCTCCTTCTCAAGATCTGATGATATTGGCAAAACCTGCATCAGGCTAGTGGGACTGCCTTTACACCTATGCTCTCAGAAATTTTTCAGAAAAGTGGGAGACTTGTGGCGGCTGGATTCAGACTGAAGAAGAAACGGAACTCAAAAATCATCTTAAATGGGCGAGGTTGCTGGTGAAAGGTAACCGAGATTTAATCCCAAAGATGGTCGACATAGAGCATGCAGGGATTATATTCTCGATTCATATTTGGTGCGAAGCTCCGGTGAGATTTTGTTTCGGCAGTGGCAGTTTGGAGAAAGATCTGGACCAAAGGATAATATAGCAGCCTATAATAACAGGGGGAGGGGCTCAAGACTTTTGCGATGGGATGGGGCACATGGGTTGTTCTAAGGAAGTACATCCTATGTCTAATGCTATAAAGGTCACACGTATTCTGGCACATGAGGAGGCTGAACCTTCTTCTGATCCTTTAATTAAAAGGCCCCAATTCAAATTAAAGAAGAATTTGGGCCCAGATTTTGGCCCAAAGCCTCATGGAGGACAAGTCCACTAATGGTCTTAAATCGGACATGAGGCCTGACCCACTGGTTGAAGAAATAACTGTTAACTCTCCTTCTTCTCCTATCTTTATACAAGATGCAACCCACCATACAAAACCAAATCTGGAGAACACGATCAAAACAACTGAAGAAGAAAGAAACTTAGAAACCCTAAGTAATGCATGCAACGAAGAAGACAACACGAATTCTGCCAAAGAAATAGCAAGTTCCTCGATCGACATACAGAACTCTAACAACATGCAAATCATCGTAGTAGGGGAAAAAACGACCTGGGCAATTGAAGAGGTAGAACCACTGAATATTCGAAACCAAGAAGTTGAGAAGGACCCCGAATTCTACTCTCCTATTTGGATTCACCAGAATATCATCAAACTAAACAAAGAATTTAGTGTAGACTTCAAAGGATGTGAAAAGGAGGCCTATAGTTATTCGTGAAGATCGATCATAAGAGGCAAACAAACAAGGGCGACACAAATTTGATGGTGTCATCAACTCCAAAACCAAAGGGTTCCAAAGAGCTCAAAAGGTTGGATATAGGGAGTAACTTTTAAAGTAACGACACCAGAAGTAGGGGGTTTCCTTATCAATACAGATCAATGAAACTCAACATTATATCATGGAATGTAAGAGGTTTAAACAGGGCAAGGAAGAGAAGAATGATCAAGAGTTGCATCAACACCTGGAAAGCTGATATATGTTGCTTTCAGGAATCCAAATTAGAAAGAGACATCAAGAAAATTGTAAAAGATCTTTGGGCAAACAGATAGGGGAAATTTGCGCAGTTGGAAGCTAGTGGAACCGGGGGAGGCATCTTAATTATGTGGGATAACAGGATTTGGGAACGGGAAATCAGCAGCTTGGGATCCTTTCTATTTCTTGCAAATTCACTGGGAGAACCTAGGATTTTAGCTGGTACTTAACCTGTATTTATGCCCCAAATGATGGGCAGGGAAGATAAGAGGTTTGGTGGGAAGTTAGTGCAGCTAGGGGCTTGTTCTTTGGCCCTTGGGTCATTTGGGGGGATTTCAACACAGTTCGATTCCCCTCAGAATAAAAAGATTGTACCAGATTCACTAGATCAATGAATGATTTCTCTGAATTCATTGAAGATATGGGCTTGGTGGACTTACAATTGTTTGGAGGAAGATTTACTTGGAGGAGAGGAGTTAGACATAATACTGCAACTAGACTACAAATTCTTGATCTCCGAAGATTGGGATGAGGGCTTTAGAAACATAAAACAATTGACTCTTCACAGGGTGACTTCTGATCACACCCGGCTTTTACTGCAATGTGGGAACTGGGAGCCAATTAAAACTTATTTCAAATTTGAAAATTGGTGGTTGAAGACAGAGGGATTCTCAGACAGAGTTAAAGACCGGTGGAGCTCAATTACATGTGAAGGAAGACCTGACTACATCCTAGCCTTCAAACTGAAAGCCTTGAAAGACAAACTTAGAAATTGGAGTAAAACTATTCAAGGGAACCTGGAGATGTAGAAGCTCTGTATGACCACCCAATGGTCTGAGCTAGATTAGATTTAAGATTACAGGAACTTAAATGAGGAGGAAGTACTCACCAAAGCTGCACTTGCTGTGGAGTTTGAGGAAATTGCTAGACATGAAGTGGTGGCATGGAGGCAAAGATCCAGGGCAACATGGTTGAAACAAGGAGATAAGAATACTAAGTTCTTCCACTGAACAACTAATGCTCACACGAGGCAAAACAACATCGGCCAGCTAGAAATAGAAGGACAATCTATGAGGAACCTTGCCGACATAAAAAAAGAGATTGTAACATTCTATCAAAGCTTGTACTCAGAAGCAGAAGAGTGGAGACCTCAAGGCAACCTCAGAGTATGCCTCACAATCACCGCAAAAGAAAATTATATGCCACAAAGTCCATTTGAAGCTCAAGAAATCTGGAGCAATGTCGAAGCATGCGCCGGAGACAAAGCTCCTGGCCCTGATGGCTTCTCCATGGCTTTTTTCACTCATTACTGGGAGGTGGTCAACACTGATGTTATAGCAGCTCTTCAGAACTTCCATGAAGGAGGGGTCTTCGAGAAAAGCTTCAATTCCACTTATGTGGCCTTGATTCCAAAGAAGAAGGGTGCAAAAGAACTGAAAGATTTCAGACCTATAAGTCTTATAGGTAGTATCTACAAAATTATCTCAAAGTTACTGACCGAGAGACTTGAGAATGTCGTGCACAAACTGGTAGACATTCAACATATGACCTTTATCAAAGGTAGACAGATTATGGATGCTATTCTCATTGCTAATGAGTGTATAGATGCTAGAATTAAAAGCAAGAAATCAGGAATACTATGCAATCTAGACATCCAGAAGACCTTTAATAATCTAAATTGGAACTTTCTGCTTGGACTTCTGGTAAAGATGGACTTTGGAGATAAATGGGTCAACTGGATCAAGTTCTGCATAAGCACAGTAAGATTCTCTATCCTTGTAAATGGTTCCCCAGCTGGTTTTTCCCCATCACAGAGGGGGCTAAGGAAGGGTGATCCCCTATCTCCTTTCCTATTCATTATTGCAGCGGAAGGCCTAAATGACATGTTGAAAACTGTTCAAACAAACAACTGGATCAAGGGTTTCAATGTGTCTCACAGGGCAGATAGCAACCTGGAAATTACACACCTACAATATGCAGATGACACACTGGTGTTTGTGATGCTGACAGAGAACAACTGAAGACGATGAGGGTGATTTTCATTATATTTGAAGTTATTTCCGGGTTGCACATTAACTGGAGCAAGAGCCACTTCTATCTAGTTAATGAGGTTAATGGATTTCAAGAACTGACTAATATCCTACGACGGAAGATAAAGGAACTACCTGTTATTTATTTGGGTATGCCTTTGAGAGCCAAGAGCAAGTCAAAGGGAATTTGGAATGAAGTTCTGAAGAAATGTGCAAAGAAGCTTGTCAACTTGAAAAGTCAATACTTATCTTTGGGTGGTAGGCTAATCTTGATCAACAGTGTACTTGATGCCTTACCTACTTATATGATGTCTCTTTTTCCCATCCCTCCTAACGTGGTCAAAAGAATAGATGCAATGAGAAGAAACTTTCTGTGGGAGGGCAATAGTGACAACAACAAAATTCATTTGGTCAAATGTGATACTTTAACAATGAGCAAAAAGGAAGGGATCACGAATCAGGAATCTGAGAATACTAAATCAGAGCTTAAATATGAAGTGGCTTTGGAGATATGCTTCTAATGAAACCTCACTTTGGAAGGAAGTAATCAAAAGAAAATATGGAGTAGAAGGAAATTGTACAACCAGACCATTGAACAGCCCTTAATGGGTAAGCCTCTGGAAGTCTATCAGGAACTTGTGGCCAAAGTTCAGAAACAAAGCCAAGTTCAGAATAGGTGATGGCCTGAAAACTTCCTTTTGGGAAGACAACTGGCTTGGTCAAAACACACTGAAGGAGCTATACCCTGACATCTACAACTTGAACCTACAACAAGGAGCTACTGTTGGAGAGATATGGTCAACTCAAGGTTGGAACCTCAGCTACAGAAGACTTTTTAATGATTGGGAAATTGCAAGGATAACAGAATTCTACAACACATTGAATCAGTTCAAGGGGGCAACTTTCTCTGAAGATTGTATCTTTATGGCAAGGGAACAAGCAAGGAAACTTTACAGTCAAATCAGCATACAAGGAATTCAACCTAGCTAACAGCCAGATTGGTTCCTGACTATGGAAGCTAATTTGGAAAGTCAAAATTCCATTCAAAGTTGCCTGCTTTACATGGCTGTTGGCTAGAAAATTAGTTTTCACACAGGACAATCTCGTCAGGAGGGGCTCTTAACTATGCTCCAAATGCTACTTATGTGGTGAAGAAACTAAGACAATCAACCATCTTTTTTTAACACTGCAAGATTACAGAGCAAATATGGAGGGTTTTTATTAATTTGAAAGGGATCATGTAGGTAATGCCTAGGGGTATACTGGATGTTTTAAGATGCTGGAGCAAACATGGTACTTCCCCCAACCAGAAAGAGATGGAAGATTGTCCCACCCTGCATTTGATGGACAATTTGGTTAGAGAGAAACCAAAGATGTTTTGAACATAGAAGAAGCACTATCCAAAAATTGATAATGAAATGCTTACTCCTTTTCCACTTTTGGTGTAAACAAGAGTATTTGGAAGATCCATAATCTATTATTGAATTTTTAGGAACCTTATAGTGTAGAAATCTGGATCTTCATATACCATTTTTTGTAAATTGGGTAACTGTTTCCCTTAATGCAGTCAATATATATATACAAAACTTGTTACCTTCTCAAAAAAAGAAAATAGTATGGGTAGGTTCGAAATCGCTGGACGACCAAACTGTCATGAAGGACTTTTGTCAAAAACTAGCCTGAAAGTGCCTCCCGCGCTGGCAGGTGAGACGGAATCTCGTCGAAATTTTTTCTTTGGGCAGCACGTGAGGGTGCGTGGGGTGGAGGGAGTTGTGCCGGAAAGTTTTTTACGGGTTGGTCACTGGAGGCTGATCTACCTCGTGGTGGTGTTGGCTTTTGCACAATATCGACGGATAAAAAATTTCCGATTAATTGATTTTTCTTCCCGGAATCACTGGTATTTTTGCATAGCGATGAATCTCTCACGGTGGCTCTGATACCATGTGAGAAATAATGGAAGAAATATATTATTGATGTGTTAACTATAATACAATGAGCCCTATTTATAACTATACACTATACATACTCTAGTCCAATTCCACGTGAGATTACTTATTTACATAGCTATCTAACACGTACACACTAAGAGAGACACATTTTATGGATATGCCTACACATGCGCACACTCAGAACTTCGCATGGATATGTGTCTAATAAATCTTTATATAAAAGATGTTACCAACAATCTAGTAATAGTCAAAGCTGTGTGTTCATAATCTCCTTACTGTGCTTTGTCGTACATTTGTACGAGATTTGTATTTCAGCTGTCTGGTGTTTGACTGAATGCTTGCTTCCCTGTCTTTGGTCAATAAGTTATAGAAAAATTGTTGATATATGACTTTGGTTGTCAATTGAATTACCGTAATATTGAATATTGATAGGAAAGGAAGGGCTGGTAAAAGGGTTTTCAGATTTGAGATCCTGTTAGTGGAATTCAATGAACTGCGAAATATTCTCAACCTTGTAGATTGAAATGATGTTCTGATCTTGAAATATCAACGTGGTATTCTATGCATGCTATAGGATAAGCATCATGAGGAGAAGTTACAAGTTTGATTATCTGATGCCAACAAGCTCACATCTAAGCCTTTTGTTTTGCAAAGCTATGAAGGACAATTTTGTAAACATTTCTGCATATTGTTATATTCAGAATTAGTCTTCTTTATAAAGTTCAAATTTGTATCTCGAAGTGGAACTTACTCAAGAATTTAAAGGGAACAAGGACTTGCCATGTAGCTGCAATAGCTCTTTGGTTCTTGCATGTCTGACAGACCATATTCTGCAGGTTATGCAGTCAGGAGGGATTTTAGTATTGTGGACTTCACTCATGTTCATGTAGGCGATAACCCTTTTCTATGTACAGATTGTTAAATGCATGTGGAATCAAGAACCCTGTTAACAATTTAGTTTCAAATGCTGTCTTGTGAAACTCCTTTCACAATTTAGCTTTAATTAGTGATAGTTAACCTGAAATTCATCAGATACTATGCATCGTTGTTTTAAAAATTAAACATTAAATGGAGTTATATTCTTTACCAGGTGCGTGTATTGCATTCTGAAGGTGACTTGACAGTAAAGATGAAACTGCACTCCTTGAAAATTAAGGATGAACTTCAACGTTCTTTATGTTCGGGTCCCCAATATCTGGCTTGCTCTGTTTTGGTGGATCATGGTGCTGCCAGCTGTCCTGACCCCTTGGAACCTCATGGGAAAGAGCTACCTTTGATGGTAATAGAAGAGGATGATATTTTCAAGGATGCCTTGCCAGATTTCTTATCCTTTACAGATTCTGCTGAAGCTACTACCCCTGAGAAGGAGCTATTGAGGGGAAGAAGTGTTCCTGGTGATATTTTCTATGAGGCATTGGGGTCTGATGACTCTGATTTTGTGTCTCTAACATTTATAACAAGGACTCCTGATTCTCCTGATTATGATGGCATAGATACGCAGGTAGCATACTTGACTTGAATATAGCTTTCTTGAAGGAGTAAAAGCTGGAGAGATTCACTTACCTGTTGCTTTTCCCTTTGAAAAATTTCAGATGAGTGTTCGTATGTCCAAGCTGGAATTCTTTTGCAACAGACCTACTCTTGTTGCTTTGATCGATTTTGGCTTTGATCTGAGTTCAGGAAATAACATGTTAAATAATAAAGATCTCCCGAAAGATCCAGATGAATCTTCAGTGAACAAAGAGAAAACAGAAGAACAGGGCCATACACATGTCAAAGGGTTGCTTGGTCGTGGAAAAGACCGTGTTGTGTTTTTTCTAAACATGAATGTTGACAGTGTTACAGTGTTCCTCAATAAGGAGGATGGTTCTCAGCTTGCTATGTTTGTGCAAGAAAGTTTTCTGCTGGATATTAAGGTGGGACCCTTGCATGATGCTAAATTCATATTGCTTTTTCTCTCTTTTGAATTTTGATTGGCCATTCAGACATTCTTGTTGGATTCCCACATATGATCGCAGTTTTAGAATTTATGCCTTTATATTTTTTGTCCTGATATTTTACTTTTATATCTGACAAGGTTCATCCAAGTTCTACTTCCATAGAAGGTACCCTTGGAAACTTCAGGCTATGTGATCTAACACTTGGCTCCGACCAGCGATGGGGTTGGCTATGTGATATTCGTAATCAAGGGGCTGAATCACTCATTCAGGTATTCAGTTATTTCTTTGAACAGAATTTTCAAGCCGCCACCATTTCATGGATGGGAGTCAGTTGACCAATTTCTCTCATATTTATGCACACACACACACACACACACACACACATATAGAATATGCGATTAACTGGGGTTCTGTCGTAGCTACCTGTTTTTAATCTCTTAAACAGATATTTCGACTTCTTTGTACTAAGATGATTTCTCCTTTGCATCAGTTTGTATTTAAGTCTCATAGTACAGAAGATGATGATTATGAAGGATATGACTACAGCTTGCGGGGTCGACTTTCAGCAGTTCGTATAGTTTTCCTTTATAGGTTTGTTCAAGAGGTAAGCCTTTTATTTTTTTAACATATAAAACTTGCTCTTTCCATTTGCCTTCTTTGTGACTTAGCATTTCTTGATGCATTGCTCTAATTATAACTAGTGGGTATTCTCACTGTCAACTGTGTGGTATGATTTCTTTCAGTACAATACAAAAGAACGTAATCGTTTTTTTGGAGGTGAACATGTACTTCCACATGGACCTGGAAAGCGCTAGATCAGTTTTTGGTTCCTTAAGTTTTCTAAATCAGAACATTATGAATGAAAGCAGGATTAGACATCATGCATTCGTGGACCTTCCACGTGGATGTCTGATAGATGATAAGAGTTGTTAGGTTTTTCCTCTGTATATTATACTAGGTTTTGTTTCGTCAATCGGAGGGATACTTTCACGGTATGTATGTCTGCATGAAAATTTTGGATTGTTATAGGAACTGAGAGATTCGTGCCTTTTCTATTCTGCAGATTACTGCGTACTTCATGGAGCTTGCCACACCCCATACTGAGGATGCTATTAAACTCGTTGATAAAGTGGGAGGGATTGAATGGTTGATTCAAAAATATGAGGTTGATGGAGCCTCTGCAATAAAGCTGGACCTTTCACTCGATACTCCCTTAATAATTGTCCCAAGGAATTCCAGAAGCGAAGAGTCAGTCATTAACCTACTATCTTTATTTATTCGAACTCTAGCTTGTCTACATTATGCATTTGTCAATTTAGAGTTTTGTCTTTCCTGGAAACTAGGACACTTAAAATTGAATGTCATCTTCCAGCTATTTAGCTGTTCAAACGGTTGTTTGTCTGCATTATGCAATTTCAGTTAAGAGTAGTTTTTTCCCTGAAAATGAGATGCCTCATATTGAAATAGGAAGTTATTTGGTGCAATAGCTCTAATAGCTTGGACTCTTTTTTTTCGATAATCGGGAAATCCCCGAGGGTCAGCCGGCGCACGGTTCAACACGTAGAAATGGCGTGGGATAGCCACTTTTTAACATGGTATTTAGTTTTTATCCAGTATTTTTAATGCTGAGCAAAAATAGCCATTACTCTATTAAAATTAATACGAAAAGACGTTGTTACCCTTTCTTCACGAGTGTTGTGTAAATATTAAGGACATGGTGTCCTTAACATTTACACTGCACACATGAAGTTAAGGACGCCATGTCCTTAACATTTACACGGCACATATGAAGTTAAGGACATGATGTCCTAAAGTTTAACAACGGAATGTGCAAATACATGACACTTTGTCCTTAATATTTACACAACATTCATGAAGTTAAGGACACCATTTACACAACACTCATAAAGTTAAGGACACTATGTCCTTAACATTTACACTGCACACATGAAGTTAAGGACACCATGTCCTTAACATTTACACTGCACGCATGAAGTTTAGGACATGAGATCCTAAAGTTTAACAACAGAAGGTGCAAATACAAGTTAAGGACATTATATCTTTAACATTTACACTGCACACATGAAGTTAAGGACGCCATGTCCTTAACATTTATACTGCACATATGAAGTTAACATGATGTCCTAAAGTTTAGAAACGGAAGGTGCAAATACAGGACACTTTGTCCTTTATATTTACACAACATTCATGAAGTTAAGGACGCCATGTCCTTAATATTTACACATCACCCATGTCTAGCACAGTGGAATTTTTCGTTCGAGCGGGTAAAAATTTATTAAGCACTGGCTAAAGAGTAAATACATTTTAAACAGTGGCTAAAGAGTAAAGACATCTCTAATTAGTGGCTAACTGTGCACTTCCTCCGTTCAACACTCGGTGGATAATAGGCCTGTCTCTCTACTTTTCTCCACTTAAATACTAGGCTTTATGTCTGAGAAACTTTGGAGCTCGTGACATGCACCTAACCCACATATTACTCGTTGTGCTCTTACCAGAACCATAGCTCAGGTGGGAACCTCTGATAATTAGGACTCTTACAATGACTTCATTACATGATGCTATGCTGTTTTGTAAGTGCATGTATATAGTTGTGCTTTTGGAGTTCAGAGATTTTGCTTACACCTCTGACAATATACCACCTTATCACTAATTCCTGAAGTACTTAATCTAATTGAACCTTGCTTAACCCAATGATTTGATGAGCTGCAAGAAATGATAATTGGGCAATTGTGGAGGATGATCTTTTAGTGTTCTGCCGTTTTCTCTTTCCGTATTGCTGGGTTTATCTGGCAAAAGCTCCACTCGAATCAATTGGTCTTCTGAAAAAGTTAAGAAAGGCTTAGTAGCGCCCAGAATCTTGCACTATACCCAAAAAATTAGGAAGGTGCCAGAAGGTTCTGGCTTTCAGTTGGGAACACCTTGTTATGCGAGAAGGTTCTCACAATTGTTTTTTGTTTTTGATAATCCAGTAAATATCGAGGGTCAGTGAGGCATGGATAATGGCTCACAAGCTTATGCACATATTTTCACCTCTTGCTCCTTTATTAGCCTTTCTTACACATTATTTTTCTTTCTTAAGATCACTCCTTTTCTTTGCCCCATTTCCTGTATTTTTGATTCTACACTGATCTTGGTTGCCTTATGCTCTCTATCATTTTTTATAAGGTAAATAATTTTTATAGATATTGGGAAATCTCGAAAAGAAATCTATTGATCCTGTCCCAATTGGTTGGATCATTGGTGTGATGATTTATTTCATAGGCAAATTTTTTAGTATTTTTTTTTTATTTCATAAGTAGCATTAAATATATCCATCTCCAATATACGAGCAGTATTCCCAAAAGTAGAGAATCTACAACAGATGAATCTCTAGAGACGACATTCTATCTTCTATACACATACACAGTAGAACTTCATGGATGCACCAAAAAGAAACTAGGAATGAGAGGGTATTTTTGAAATGTTACATAGTGGTTCTCTATGCCATCAAAAGATCTCCTATTTCTTTCCTTCCACAGCATCCACATAAGTACTAGTAGGTCCTGCAGTGGTCTCAGTTAGTATCAGGACTCAAAAATCAACATCGGCAAGTGTGAGATTTTTCCGGTAGGTGAGGTTACTAATATTGATCCCTTGTCTGGTGTTCTCAGATGCAAAGTGAGCTCCCTTCCCACTACTTACCTGGGCCTCCCTTTGGGCGCTTCATATAAGGATACTACGGTTTGGAATCTAGTGATCGAACGGGATGAAAAAAGATTAGCAGGGTGGCAGAAACGGTATTTGTCAAAAGGAGGTAAGGAAGTGCTTAT